CGAGAAACCATGTTGCCCTTGATTTCGGGCTGAATATTTGAAAAAGGCAAGTTTCCTCTTCATTGCCTCTACAGGACTCCAGCCAGGAGCCCTCTTCCTTATGAATTAATTATTAATTTTTTTTAATCAAAAGTCTAGTGTTACCGAAGTTGTTTTCTGGTTGTAGGAACACGCTGTGTTGGCCCAGCATTTAAATTAATATTGAAAAATATCAAATCACCACACTCTGACACCCAGGCAACAGAGACCCCCATCTAAGCGATTTATTGCCTAAGAACAATTTGTGGATGTGATTTTTAAAATCTGGTCGTATGCCGGTGAAGGCGGTTAAGAGGAGTTGTTCTTTTCAGGCTTGTTGCCTGGTAAATATGGTCAGAATTTGAGGACCACGCATTCCCATCTCCTCCCTGCATGCGAGAAACCATGTTGCCCTTGATTTCGGGCTGAATATTTGAAAAAGGCAAGTTTCCTCTTCATTGCCTCTACAGGACTCCAGCCAGGAGCCCTCTTCCTTATGAATTAATTATTAATTTTTTTTAATCAAAAGTCTAGTGTTACCGAAGTTGTTTTCTGGTTGTAGGAACACGCTGTGTTGGCCCAGCATTTAAATTAATATTGAAAAATATCAAATCACCACACTCTGACACCCAGGCAACAGAGACCCCCATCTAAGAATGACAATAACCGGCAGCTAAGGTAGTAAAAAACTCCCAAGAGCATGCAAAACGTAGGTGTGTTTTCTTTTCTGTTTTTTTTTTTTTTTTTTGATGGTTGGTTGGCAGGTAATGGCCGCCAACAACAGCAAATAAACTTGACTTGACTTTAAAAAGAACGGAAAACCAACAACAATGCCACCTAATAAAATTTTATTTTAATGTCGTAGGTTTTTCGACTCCAAAGTGACGATGATGTCGACGACGAAGACAACAAGTACCGACTTTATGGACATTAAAATGTACTTAACGCCTATGACTGTCTGTCTGTCCGCCTGTCTGCTTGTCCGACTAATTGACGTACTGACTTAAATGTGTGATAGTAGTTACAAGGTTGTTTCCCATTGTGGTTGGTATCTACGTTTTTTTTTTGTTCTGGTTTTGCAAATTCCGCAAAACTCCATTAACGACCCGACGACACTCAGGGTACCATCCCCTCGCGACATAACATAAAAGCGACGATAAAGCACGTACACAAACAAAATCAGGCGCACACACAAATGGCACAGGCTGGCGGACAGACAGACAGACAGAAAGACCAACTGAGAGACATAATAAGAAAATTGCCATAAAACAACAGAAATGGCACACAACAAAACAAACTTTTCCTCGTTCCGTTCTTTGTTGCCATTTTTATGTCAAAGTACAGAGCGGCGCACACACATCCAAACACACACATGCCACAAATGTTTGAAAACATCATGACATATTTTTAGCATGAGACACCAAGTAGTTCGTAGAGTGAGCGGCATGAGAGAGGGCCGACGACGACACGAGACATGACAATGGCTTGACATCAAAAATTTTCTAATTGGGATAGGGTGTGTTTTCCCTTTTGTGCCAAAAAAGAAAGAACAAAACTCTCTCACAACACAACACACAGCCAGAGATACAGGTGATGAATAATGAAGATGAGAGGGAGTGCAGGCATGTGAACCCACCTTGCAAACAATGAAATGGGGTGTGTGAACCTATTCTTATTAGATTTCACACAGAGTTGATAAGAGGATAGTTTTTTTGTGATTGTGTTACTTTTCTTTGGAAAGGAAATAGATAAATTGCAAAATTTTGTAGGGAAAGGTGTGAAATTTGTGAAAAGGAAAGCAAGGAAGTTCCTTTTGAATGAACATTTTGGCAAATTCTGGGTAATTATAGAAATTTATTACAAAATTAGGCAGATTTTTAAGGTGTAGCCTAAATTGTTTTAGATTGAGGCGTAATCGAGTAATGTCACCAATTTTTAGATTAAGGTATAAAATATGAATAATGTCACAAATTTGGGATTAAATTGCTTATTCAAGATTTGCCACAAACAATAGTTTTTTTTTTTTAAAAAATTAGCAAAGAGATTAATACAATTAAATTTTATAGGGAGAAAGAAATTAATTGGCTTTAAGGTCAAGCACGCCGAAAATTCGTACATTAAAGGTGGAAAAAGTACTAAAAGGTACACAGTTGTGTAATTTCGACCGATGAGTTATAAATCGATAAGAGCTAGAAATTTTAAATGTTTAATTTACCCCACACACTCGTATTTATGGCTCCTAATCTATACATGAAAATTTGGAGAATCCAAATCCAGGATATTCTACTATATTCCAATGAAGTGGCAATCACGTGCATTCGCCAATGAGCAAAAACACATATACAAGCAAGCAAGTGCATGTCTGTAATTATAAATGCGAGTGAGTGATAGAGAACGATCAAAATGAAAACTACAAAACTAAGACTGCTGCAGGAAGAACGAAGTATTTGAGGAAAGGTAAAATAATAACAATAGAAAATATATCTAAAGGTGGACTTATGTTAAATATGCTTTCTGAGGAGTTAAACTGCCAGTAAAAACTCTCCGATTTTTATTCCCTCCGATATTCGGCATTTTGATGATTTTCGCCACTTTTTTCACGGATTTGTCTAAAAATTGGTATTTGTTGGTCATAATGGGTTATAGCTCCGGTGGCGAATAATAGTATGTATAGGTCCACGTATTTGTATATCCCCTATATAACGGTACCTCCCGACAGTCGGGTTTTTTCCACATTTTTTTATGGATTTGTCCAAAAATTGGTATTTATAATTCGTAATGAGTACTAACTCCTGTGGCGAAAAATAGTGGTATTTGTAGTTCATAATGGGTTCTAGCTCCGGCGGAACATCATTGAAAGTTTAGGTTCACGGTTTCCTATAGCACAAATATAACGATACCCACCGATACTCGGTATTTTGATAATCCTAGTCACATTTTCGTAAGAAAATGGTTCATATTTGATATTTAGTGTGGGTGGTCCGATACATCCCAGGGATATATGGGATATATGAAATTTGATAAGAATCGGATGCTCATTTCGTATTTTATAAGCATTTTGGTTATTCGAAATGTTAACCCCTTTTGTAGGGGAGGTACCAGAAGAAGTCGACCAATATATTCCATCTTCACACCAGATCTTGTCTTAGTAAAAATATTGATATTTGTAAAAAAAATTTAAAGAAAATCGTACTCTTATTTCTGATTTTATGGGAGTTATAATTTTTCAAAATGTTGAACCTTTTTGGGGGAGGTGTGACCCGATATTGTTAATTTTCGCACATAACCTAGCACTGATAAAAATATAAGGTTTTGCAAAGTTTGAACAAATTCGGAAGATATATTTTTTTTATGAGATAAATTACTCTCTGTGAAAATGTTGACCTTTTGTTGGGGAGGTACCACAACCGACCGAATTTGCCCATCTCTGAACTCGATACAAAATTTGACAATAAAATTAAGGTTTACTAAGTTTGTACCGGATAATCCCTTTGAGAGTTATCGTACGCACCAGCCAGAAAGACGGAAGGATGGACGCCCTTTATCGACTCCAAATATCCTGAATCGGCTCTTTCCAAACAGACCTAGAGTCTAAAATTTTCCTCAAAATTTTTCTAATTTCGAATTATTTTCTAAGTTTTTCCAGCTTGGGCCATATAATCCATAGGAAGGATTTTTTTCTTTCCTATCCTTGAGTTAAAATATTAATATCTCTGGTACCAAAAAAAATACTCCGAATTTATTCGTGTAGAGCAACTACTTTTGGTTTAAATCTGGTTTAGTAGAAAATCTCGGATTTTCTGAAATTTTTTCCAAAATAAGGTAATTTCACCCTGATTCCGGGAAAGTGTTTTTTTTCGTCGGTGAACTGAACGGAATTAGAGTGTCCGGTTCCAGGAAAGATAATACCACAATTTGTAGCATTTTGGAAAGGTTGGAGGGTAAGCTATAAATTATCATAAATTTTGTGGTATCCCAAAATGGGCATTTTTCGATTTTTGAGAGATTTAAAAAAAATCTGGGTGCGGATTCGGGATTTTTGAAAAAAAAAATACTTTCACTGTATCAAGGTATAAACACCTACCTCAGGAAAAAATTTCAAAAAAATCCGAGAGTTTTTACTGAACTAGAGTTATTCCCCATTGTTTTTCTCCCTATATATTCTCGTTTATGAGATACCTCTTCTACGACTTTCCTTTCAATTAAAATAAACAATTCCCAATATTTTTCTATCCAGTAAATCACTTTATTTTCCGGTATAACATTAATTTACATCATTCACATCCCAGTTAATCAGTTCACATCCCAAAGAATTTAAATTGGCATCCCTAATGGAATGTCTCTCTCTCTCACAATAAACACACATACGCACATGTCAAATCATCCCAACGAGAAAGGCGTGTAAACAAACAGAATCCGAAAACAACAAAAACTAGAGAAATCAAACAAGAACACCGCACACCCAAACAAAAAAATGATGACACAACGAGACAACACTGAGAGGCTGTTGGGCTGCACTCCACTCTCTTTCACACAAACACAAACCTTCTCTCTACAACAGAGCACAGCACTTCCCTTCAATAAAGTTCAGCTCATAAAATGAATAAAATAAATAAAAATGAAAAAAAAAAAACATGAAAATCTATCCATCAGAAGCAAAGAATGGATGATGAATATTTTGTTTGAGAGACAACCTGACACCGACAACAAACGTCATACCAACATCAAGTACATAAATAAAACGAATGATTAACTACCGGACGGCAACGTATTAGGTAAAAATGACCACACAACACAGGCTGGTGCGGCTGCTGCCTCTTCTGCTGCCACTCGTCGTAAATGTTAAATGTTCATTTGCCGTTAATGATTTATTTCTCTGTTTCACTTAAACAGCAGCAGTTTTACACTTTTTCTTCTTCGTCTTCTTAAATGAAAGTTGGCTTTTTTATTTCACCAATGAAAGACAACAACATTAAACTTACCTTTATTAATTTTCTAATGATTCAAAGCAAAAAAAAACGTTGATGAGACGACGACAGACACTGCAAAGTGAAAATTTTTTGTTTGTTTTTTGCTGCTGCTGCTGCGACGGTGGCTGCTGGCTGCAGAGATTTGTTGTTGATATCTGCGAGTACTGGTGTACGCCAATACGATGACGATGATAAACCCCCTTCCAAAAAAGAAATAGTAAGCCTTGTTTCACAAATTATTCTTTTTCTACCCTCACAAAATTCACAAATATTTGTAAATTATTGAATTATTCGTGCACTTGTCTCCCACACACAAAACTATTCCACTTCTTTTTCGCCAATAGACACAAAACTCTGTGATTTCTCTAAGATTTATTCACCTTCTTAATTTTTGTATACACTTTTTGTTTGGGTGCTGCGACTGCCTTAGCTTTTCTTTTTCTACTTTCAGATGTTGCGTTTTTAAGGGTTTGTCACACATTCATTTTCTTTTGTTTACCCCTCGAGACGAAAAAATCAATTTGTTTTAAATATTTCACTTCACTAAAATTCCAATTGGCATAGAAATCATGTGCAATACTTATGTTTTCTTTTTGTTTTAACTATTTCTCTTTTTCATAGCTCACAAGAAAAACTCGCGGAAAACTGTCAACTTCTAAACTTCGTTGTCTGACTCTTTTTTTCCAACTGATTTTTTGGTTGTGTACGTCAAAATAGGGATCCCTAAGTCGAGTTATCGATTTTTTTAATTGGAGAAAATTTTAAATCGAGAGTGGAGTAATCGTATGTTAAAGTGGGGTACACAAATTCGGATTTGAAATAACTCTTGCTAAAACAGTCACTGTCAACATAAAAATGTCAGAAAATTAAAAAAGAAAAACAAAGTATTTGGTAAGTGGCTTTATTCGACCTCTTTTTATAGTGGCATGACACGATAACCATTTATCCTTTGTGAAATCGAATAATTTCCAAAGTTATTAGCAAGCTGATTAATATCTAGCAGTTTTGATCATAGTTTTGAAAAAATTAGGAATATATCAAATAACTGAAATTTTTGAAAAATTCTGGCATGAAGCAGCCCTAGCCGCAGGGCTGCATTTCTGTAATTTCAGAAGCTGTTCTAACTCCTTATTTACCATGGCTATTAGTAGATTCTGGAACTGACCCATGAATGAAAATAAACGCCGAACATACATTACATACCCAGAGGATTTAAAATGTCAATTCCATTACGTATATGTCAAATGTAATCCACTAGATTTGAAAGTCGATTTGAATTGGCGTTAAAATCCATTCGATTTAATAATTTACCTGTTTTTACTAAGCCCAATAGATATATGTTCCGTTCCAGACATACAGGTAAATGTATCAACGTTTGGGAACATTGAAATGTCATTTTTTTTTTTTTTTCAAAACTAAGTAGATTTTTATATGACACTATTCGGAGGTTGTTATGAATAGCACTTTTCAATAATTTTAACTAAATTGAACAATATTTCATTTAAAATTCTCAATTTTAAAATTGGTTTGACAGTTCAGGGTCCCAACAGCTGTGTCGATTCTACTACCATGGTTCCAGAACTGCAAGAATGTAAAACTATGTACGACTATTGCTCTGTTCCCAATCTGGATTCGATGGCAGGATTCGAGTGCGGCTCTGGTATCCCTTTATGATATGTCACAAAATATGCCATGTGAAGACTACAAGCTGCTTATGAACTCACACCTTACGAGCACGTTTTGACTACTAAATCCAATCGATTTAAAATGTCGATTCCATAGCGTATACGTTGTAAGTCGCATTCATAAATCCAGTGGATATTATTTGACGTATATGCTACGAAATTAAAATTTGAGATCAAGTGGTTTTCGATAATACCAAACATACTTTAATAGAGAATTTATGCTATTTCTGATTAACCCACTTGGTCTAGTAGATCGAGTGTGTTAACCTTGTGTGTTAAATTAGTAGAATCTAAATGCCGCTCATCTGATGTTTGTTTATGTTTAATTTAATATTAATGTCAAATTTTAAGGGAAAACGACGGCAGAATCCCTTTATGATATGTCACAAAATATGTCGTACGAAGCCTTCCAGCTGATTATGTACCCACTCTTTTATATGTACCCTTCTTCGTTAAAGAAAACAAGAGGTAACAATTAACAATTTTGGTTGAATTTAACCAACTGTGGCAACCATGCACAGGGCGCCTCCGCCGATTGTTTACAAATGACAAGCCGTTGCCGCCGTTAAAAAAAATATTTCCACTTCGTTGTCTTGAGAGGGATACATGCATTAAACTGAAAGATATAATTTTGCAAACAACATTTTGTAAAAAACAATAAAAAATATAGTGAAGTAAAGAAGACATAACGCTTTAGATAAAGTAAATCACTAAACACTTGCATTTAGACATGTCTGATACTGAAAAGAATATTCCTGAAGGCTGGGAAGTACGCACAAGTCGTTCTACCGGTAAGTGGACAAAAATAACCCCTCATACAATTTTTTTGCTATTGTGTTTGGTATCTAAGCTGCTGCTGCAATCCAGCTAACAACCCTTTGAGTGATATTTTTGCGAAGTGCAAGAAATATAAACATTTGGTTGTGGTCAAAAGGAATTAATCTAACAAAACGAAATATGTAAAGCATATTTGGGATACATCATTGGTTGGCGCTTTTGTTGCCGTACTGGGAAGCCAATTTTTTTATTTCAAATATATGTACTTATTGGCACAAACTTTCGGAACAAAGAAAATTGATGGATTAGATAAGCTGGATCTTTATCTGCGATAACAATGAAAATATTGACGAAATCGCGGCCGAAATGTAGCTTAATTTTAGCTAAAAGGAATTAGGTTCGCTACGTAATACTATAAATTTCTAGTTAAACCTACCTCAATTTTTTCAGACATCCAGTCCAAGAAAGTATGTTCAACATTACTCGTTTGTTATGAGTCAAGGATTTTCAAAACGCAGAAGGTTTAAATTGTCAATTCCATTGCACATACCTCAAATAAATTTATAGAAAGAAGGTTAACCCGGAAGAAAGCCCTAAAGTAAATATGCCTTTACCAAAATACAAATCGTAATTCCATCAAAGTATTTGTCCGCTTGTCAATGTTTCTCTTGGAACTTATTTGATGATACGTAATCTCATTAAGGCTGATCAAATAGCCAAAATCAGAGCCAGCTTGGAGGATTAAACTAGCGAATGATAGTGGGAGGCCCCTGCCATCTAAGCCTACTCAGCCCGGAGTCAGCAAACAGATATTAGAGGTCAATATGTTGGTCGGCTTTGTTAAACATAAAAGACATCTCTTAAAGGAAAAGTCAAGTTTATTGAAAATCCCACACCTCGAAAGGAAAAGGGTGAAAAGCAAGAGACCTTGTTAGTACCAGGGTGGTCTCAAAAAATTAGTGCTACGCTGTGGAGAAGTGTTAAAAATCCGTCATATCTTCGATCTGAGAACTGCAAACAAGGTGTCTCCACTTGAACCCAATGATATCCGTACGTCAGCGTTATTGATTCCGCGATATCAGCTTGTCCCAAAGACAATCCTTAGATCGGCAAGTTTTTTAGTTCAGAATAGTATTCATACTGATTTTATTAATCAATTAATATCATCATCGGAGGTCAATCCTAGCCATTGTTGCTAAAAAATGTCAGCTTTTTAAAAAGTCTAGAAAAATTTTGGCCCAACTACTTTAAAGTTGAATGGTGCGCATGATAGCTCTTGGAGTATCCGATTTGGTCCAAACTTGGTACATCGTAATATTATTATCAAACTTAGACCGAGTTCGGAGATGGGCAATATCGGCAATAAAAATATTTTACAGTACTGTAAGAGAAAGCATAATCCGATTTTGCCCCAACTTTGCAAATCCTAATATTTGCATCAGAGCTAGGTCGGGTTCGAAAATGGTAAACACAAAGGGTCAAAATTTTGAATAATTTTAACTCATATAAAATGTGGATATCTGTATACTCCTTTTGGTACCTTCCCCACAAAGGGTCCAAGTATTTAATGTCATTATTTGGGTAAATATGCCAACATTAGAGAATAAAATTCGCTCTTCGTTTTCTGACGAAATAATTCCACTTTTGATCGAAGTTTGTTTCTGTAACATGCCTGAAAATTTAATTTTTTTTCGTCGTGGAGGCTATAAAATGTAGAGAAAGTATTTTAGCAATCATTACTAATATATCCTCCTTTATTTTTTTTTTTTTCTTAGGTCTAACTTACTACCTAAACATCTACACCAAGGAATCACAATGGGATTTACCAACGGAACCGGCCAAAAAAGAAGTATCTTCCAGTGGACCATCTGAGGTGCGTTGTTCTCATCTGTTGGTCAAACACAAGGGCAGCCGTCGCCCCTCATCATGGCGTGAAGAGAACATAACACGCACCAAAGAGGAGGCCCGACAATTGCTCGAGGATTATCGTAAACAAATTGAAAACGGTGCCAGCCTCGATGAGATGGCCCAAAAATACTCCGATTGTAGTTCAGCCAAACGTGGCGGTGATTTGGGTATGTTTGGTCGTGGCCAAATGCAAAAACCCTTCGAGGAGGCTGCCTTTAGCCTAAAAGTGGGTCAATTATCGAAAATTGTCGACACAGATTCGGGCCTACACATTATTTTACGCACAGAATAAATAGTTTAAGTAAGTTTGAAAACTCAGAATTAATAATAATAACATTAAAAAATTTGGAAGCCAAAAGCAGCATATTTTTCGGGTATGCTCAAGCCGAGACAAACCAAAACAGCTCCTAATTTTTTGCATTTAGTTTTTGTTTTGTTTTTTCTTTTTGATGAATTATAAAACTAAACAACCAAACTACTTATAATGGAAACATGTTTTCCAATAATAAACAACAAAGAAAGCGAAACAAATTAAACTTTTGTTAAAGAAATAAGTTTCTTTTTATGTATTTTTTTAGTAGTAGTAGAAAAAGAAAACTTGGAATTTTTAAAACTAATAATAAAAACTTTATTTAATTACAAAATAATTGGTTTTTAAAATATTGTTATTTATTCACTACAATTAATTCAGTTTCTTCAACAGCAATTGGGCGCCATTGAATTTTTGTTTTTTCAACACAGCCATGTGGGGTTTCAGTAACGATTTAATTTGTTTTTGTACTGCATTAGAATTATTCTCAAAAGTGTTAAGTAAAATGAAACAGGCGCGATTTATATTTAACCAGCTTTTCAGTGTATCCTCCGTGAGTTCTTGCACCAAGAGGCTGCCAAAGGTTTGAGCATCAGCATTGGCGGCCAGACGTTCTTTATCGTTTTTAATGATTTTCTTGAGCACAATATGGAGACCGGCTTCCTCGATGCCCAAAACATTTACCGTGGCAGTAACCTGAAAAGAATAATAAAATTGTTAAATTATTTTGGGTTAAAAGAGAATCTTCTGCAAACGATGAGAAAATAATCAGAATTTGTATTGTAATGAGTAATCACAAAAAATACACAAAGTAAATGAAAGGATCTCCTGGTCTTCCATAGAAGAAACAAGTAAAAAGCTGTAAGTTCGGCCAGGGCGAACTTTGAATACCCTCCACAATTTGGCACGAATATGGCAATTTTCAAATGGACCTGCAAAGGCAACTTTTGTCATAAGCCATTACAATATTCAAACCAGAAACTTGAAAAAAAAATTCGGTGAAAAATGTAGCTAAAATCATCAAAATACCGAATATCGGGAGGTACCATTATATGGGGGCTATACCAAACCGTGGACCCGCACAGACAATTTTCTGTCATAGGCTGTACGAACTTCAAATATAAAATGATTCCAGTGAATAATGTCGCTAAAATCATCAAAATACCGAAGACTGGGAGGTACCATTATATGGGGGGCTGTACCAAAACGTAGATCTGCACAGACAATTTTCTGTCTTAGGCTGTAGTATCCATTACGAACTTCAAATACCAAATTTGAAACAATTCCGATGAATAACGTCGCTAAAATAATAAAAATATCGAAAATAGGGAGGTACCATTATATGGTGGCTATACGAAGACATGGACCTCCACATACAATTTTCTGTCATAGGCTGTAGTATCCATCGCGAACTTCAAATACCAAATTTGAAACAATTCCGATGAATAACGTCGCTAAAATAATCAAAATATCGAAAATAGGGAGGTACCATTATATGGTGGCTATACGAAGACATGGACCTCCACATACAATTTTCTGTCATAGGCTGTAGTATCCATTGCGAACTTCAAATACCAAATTTGAAACAATTCCAGTGAATAATGTCGATAAAATCATCAAAACACCGAATATCGGGAGGTATCGTTAGATGGGGGCTATACCAAAACGTGGATCTACATGGCCCGTACAATATACATGATCAAGTATTAATCGACCGTGGCATCAGAATAAATTCCAAAATATTATGGAGGGTGTATTAAAGCCTTGAGCACCCAAACATTTTGGCCGCAGACCTTGGACATTCCAACAGGACTCAGCACGCGCCACACAAGAATGGATACAAAATGAGGATATCCATTTTGGGGTTTCTTATATGAAAGCCTTATATCTTCTATATATGACGAATATCATCTGGTATTCTATATCAGAAATAATTTGGGCCTCTTTTTGATCTTCTGTACAGGAAAACCTTCAGCCCTTCTGTACAAGAAAACCTTCATGAATATCATGTACCCTTCTTTATAAGATCTGATGATTTAAATCCGAATTCTATATTCATTTGCCTTTCGATTTCTATTTTCCGTTTTCTGCCCAGCTCTTTGTTTCCTCATACCTCTTCTTTCTCCTCTTCCTCATCAGAATCATCCTCAGCTTCCTTGTCATCACCATCATCCTCTGTAGATTTCACCAATTTTTGGGCCTGCTTTCTTTGTTTTGTTTTCTGTTTTGTGGCCTCGGCAATAATTTTCTCCACATCTTGGGGTTTCTTTTTCTGTTTATCCTTTGATTCATCTTCAACACTGACGCTCCAATCTGATTTGGCAATGACTTGGGCCAAGGCCGTGGCAGCCTTTACAAAATGATCAGATGTTACTGAAAAGACAAAGAAGTAACCGATTTGTCCCCCACACATATTCCATTGCTTTACTCACACTTAATCAAAATCTCCGCTGTAACCAAACCAATATGTTTATCGGATAACCAAAAATCTGGTTGCTCAGCAATGGATTGGGCAATGGGTTCTTCGATTTGTTCAAAGATTTCTTTACGTCGTATCTCCTTGTCCTTTTTGCCATACTGTAGGCCTTCTTCGATGGTGGCAATAAATGTGGGATGGAAACAATTTGTACCGCCCGGAGATACCAGCCATTCGATGACACGACGACCCCATTGATTTGCCATAAGTGTTTGTAATTCAGGATGGATGGTATCATAGATGGCCTTTTTGGTAGCCTTGGTATCATCCAAGCTGTTCAGCAAGGCAATTGTGAATAAGTGACCATGTTCATGGGTGCAAATCTTAACTAAATGTTCCTTAATGGTCTTGATAATGGCCTGAAAAAAATTAAAATAAAGCCATTAGTCAAATTTAGAGTATTTGGCATTTAAACTAAGAACTTACTCTTCTATTCTTTGGTGTGGACTTGTAAAAGCAAATAATCGAAGCCTGACACCCATCCTTGGTGGTCAACATCAAGGGTATCAGAGGACCAAACATTGTCACTGTCTCCTCCGCCTTATCTTCTTCCATTTCTTTGACATACTCCAACATTATGGCATGCACCAGCGAATTATCAACCAATTGCTTATTGGATACATGTTCCAAGTTTGCCTTGACAGCACTCAATATGGAAGCCTTCATGGTGGGTGTGTCTTTGTAACAATCGGCCAATGTATTCACCTTGTCATCTTTACCCTTCTTATACAAATCACCATAGAATTCTTGACGTAAATAGGCTTTTTGTTTGGTACTGGCCACACTTAGGTAGACATGATCGAGAATTTTACTGGAAACACTGTGGCATGCCAACTTAACCACATTACCATAGAAGGCATCAACCAATTTACTTTTTGTCACTGGAGAGCCATATTTAAACATACGCAGCACACAGAAGTGAGCATACTTCGAAATGGACATCTCCACGGCCAGTGGCATAAGGCGTTCCGACAATTGTTCACGTACCGAGGGAGAGGCAAATTTCAGCATACACTGTATAACACGGGCAGTGTCATGAGCCATTACTACCTTCTTGATTGTGTCTCCTGTATTAAATAGATTGTACAACTTTTCCACCAGTTCTGCTTTCTTTTCGGTCTTGCGACACTTGAGTTTCTCATAGATTTGTTTGGCTTCAATCGAGATTTCATAGGTGTCTTTGCCTTGTTTGCGTTTCAATTTTAAATCTTTCTTCTCCTGCTTGAATTTATTCCAATCTGTCTTCTCAGTCTTTCCTGGGGGCGCACCCAGTCCATCTTCTTCAGGCTTTCCAAACTTTGGTTTACCAGCAAATTTGTTGTTGGGATTTCCAGCGAATTTATTGCCAGGTTTTCCTGCAAACTTATTGCCTGGCTTTCCGGCAAATTTATTGCCAGGTTTTCCCGCAAACTTTCCTTTATCGCCACCAGGTTTTCCAGCAAATTTTCCTTTATCTCCACCAGCTTTGCCACCAGTCGGTTTGGTTGGCTTACTAAACTTTGTTGTTTTCTTTTCTTTTGCATTGTCGCCTTTGTCTGATTTTGCAAATTTCTTTTTCTGCGGTTCCTCGGCTACTGTTTTATCTGCTTCACGTTTCTTGCTCTTAATCATTGTGAAAATGTTATTTTCTGTTAGATTTTTGAAAAATATATCCCTTCAACTGGTTACACGTGCTTTGCCCTGATCTAAATGCAGTAAGTTTTTGTTTTCATTGTAGACGTCAAAAAATAACAGAGCTGCCATAGAAAATCAATGACGGCAACTCCGAAAAAGGGTGGGATCACACTCATTAGTTTACGATTGTGGTGAATTTGATTGGGTTAGTTTCATTTTTGGAGCCCTAACTGTTTTAGCATTTGCTTTTTCATGGGCAAAACTAGTGAAACAAAAAAATTTTAAATATACATAATATTGATAAACAAATCATAACATAAAAATACAGGGCAACAACATGGCTCAAAAAGAAAGTCTGTTCAACTTAAAAAAAAATAGGAATAAGCAAATCTGTGCGCGTGCATTATTGTGTCAAATACGAATAACCTTTAAATATCGATGTGAAAATTGGGGACGTGTTTTATGACGTGGTGGTAAATTTTGCCCCCTTAATTTTGCCAAAAAAATGTTTATTTAAAAATAAGTTTTGATTATTATTTGTTTTAAGTAAAAACAGATGTTTTATTTAAACAAAGCAGGTACTTTCATTCATCGCAATTGAACAATTTCCACAAAATACCACCTCGTTAGTTAAAGTCGTGGTAGATTTAAGAAGGTAAAGTTATGCCATCATATATTTACATTTTTTTTAAATTATTAGAGTGACAACATCTCATTGTCAAAATTAATATTTATAAATCCATGGTATACACGTGTATCACACCATATGTGAAAATTATACATATGCAAAATTTGACATTACATATGTAAAAAAAAATATCGTCTGTTAGAGCTTTTGTTAAAATTAATAGTTCAGAAGTGTCAGCAATCAGGTCAACTCAGGATTTGATTGTAATCAGGTGTAAGTCCTAGGCATCAATTCTTTCTCTGTAAATATCATAATAGAAGAATATAGGTAGATGTATTAACGTTTGGGGACATAATTATGTCATGTTCTCATCTTTAGGCAATGACAGTTTTTGTTCTCTTTTGTTATCAATGTGTATGTCAAAATTTGCCTTTTTACATATGACTCAAAATTCACCCTTATCGCGTAACAAATTTTCCCAAAAAAAAATCACCATTCCCAAAAATGCAATCACGTACTTTTTTTTTCACAAAAGTTCACAAAAAGAAGTTATAATTATATTAATTTTGGGAATGGGATTCACAATTGACATGCGAACAAATATTCACAATTTCTACGCGATAAGGGTGATTATTGCTTTCACACGCTTGCATATGCTTTTTTTATTTCCATTGTGACTATATTTGCTGTGTCCCAGAATCTATTAGCTTTACAATATTTCTTCGATATCATAAAGGGAAAATCAGTTATCTGTTTAGATCTGGAACAGACCAATGCATGGTTCCATCATAAAGGGAAAATCGGTTATCGTAGTAAAAACTTTTACTTTCTTGCAGTTCTGGAAACGATTGGAAAACTAGTGCATTCTTGCAGTTTCTAAAACAGCTTTTACTACGATAACCTATTAGCCTTTATGTTATCGAAAAAAATGCAAAGCTACTGGATTCTTCAGGTACTAAAACAGCATATATTATAATAGAACAAGAATAATGGGCCTACAAGGGCCATTATAATAAAAAAATGTCAAATGATAATTTTTATAAAGGAAATATTTCTCACGTCATATTTTCATTAATCAAAAATCCAGTCCAGTCCGAATCGATTTTCCTTCTAATACCATTACGATCTTTTGTCACAAAAGTCGATAAAATGCGATTGGTCTAAAGTCGACTTAAGTATCCCTAATACCGATGAAGTGACATTACAGACGCCGACCATAGAATTTATCGTAAAGAAAATTAACAATTTTTAAATTTTATAATAATTTATGCTCGATATCGGGGCGAACGCCAACAAATACAATTGGCAAAGTTCAGTTTAGGACGGTAAACAGTGAATTCGAGTATAAACTAGTTGCGTTAAAGTTGAAAAAACGGCGGCAAAAAGAGCGCATCATCTAGGAAGCTACAGATAATTTCGTGTGTATTTCGTTTTAATTTTGGGTGATAAGTTTTTTTTTTTGCCAAAATGGTGGGCAAACATATGCACAAGAAAAAAATGTCCGAATATACGGAAAACGAGGAGTACAAAAGTGATGCAGATGCTGGCGATGATGAGGTGGCCGAGAAAGAGTATCATGCCAGTGCCAGCGATGGCTCCGAAAACGGTGATGCAGCTAATAATGATAATGAGAAAACAAATGTGCGTGATGATGATGAGGAAACTACACTGGGTGAAGATGATGATCTTGCCCAGGGTCTCAATAGCTATTCACATGGTGATGGAGATGATGCCGGTAGTGCGGCTGAGGATAATGACGATGATTATGAGGCCGATAGCGGCAAAAAGGCCAAGAAACGTAAAACCGCGGGAGCTAAAAAGTCACTGGATACCAATGAGTCGGATGATGAGGCACTGAATGGCGCCTCGCCGAAAAAGAAAAGTCGTAAAAATGCCGGTGCCGCCGGTAAAGCTGGCGCCAAGAGTGCTGGTGCTGCCGCCAAAGGTAAGGCTAAGGCCAAGAAAGCAGCTCCCGTCGAAGCTGATGAGGATGATGACGGCGAAGGCGAAGAGGAAGAATATGAAGTTAAAGATATTGTTGGACACAAAACCGAACGTGGTGTTTCATATTTCCTTATCAGATGGAAGGGCTACACCAAGGCCGATGATACATGGGAGGCTGAAGACAGTCTTAATTGTCCGGAAATAATTGATAAATATAAGAAAAAGGTAAGTGGCAGGAAAATTGAGGAAAAATTAATGGAAGGCATATCAGTACAGTTGCCACCAAATTATTTGCTATGATGGTGTGTGGTATACGTGAAAATGAAAATAGGGTTGCCATGCCATTTCGAAATTGTTATTATTGTGGGGAAGTTTTTATGCTAGGCGTTTTATTAGAATATATGTACGTGTGTTTGTGTGAAAATGATATTTGTTTACATTTTCCATGTAACTGAAGTTGAATGACCGAATGTGCGATTTTGCATAGTTTCATTTTTTTTGTCCAATCAGCTGTATAAGCATTGTTATGGATGTGTATTTGCAAATAGTTATGACAATTATACAAAACTGCGTTTTAGAAGAACGTACTTTGAACTACGTAATAGGTTTATCGTTACTTAAATATGAAATTACCTAGATATCACCTTAATTTTTGGGGAGTGATGCCAACCCAAAGAAGAGTGATGCCAATCCAAATTAAGATGGAAATCGGGAAACTTACTAGTTTTTCATGTCATAGTGTAAAGGTATAATTGATCCGAACGAAACTTTAACAATTGCATAGTAGTTTGACATCCCATTTTAACTTCGAAACTCAGGCTCCTTTTTTTAGAACCTGAGTTGTGTCAGTAAATATCCCGTCACTCTATGACGCTTGGGAGGCTGGTTCTTTTCACGTTTTGATCATGAAGGAATCCTGGACATACCAATGAGTCGAAATATCTTAGTGAAGATGGTAATATTAGTAATTACATGTCCACATTTTTCGACTTCAATTACATAAATGCACTAATTCCTGATAGGTATGGCGTATTTTGCCCTAATTATTAGTTACTCATATAACACCGTATTGTTTTGTAGTTATCCATTTACAATCAAGAAGACAAGTGAAATGGGAAAAGAACTTAGAAATAGGATATTTGATCATAGTTAGGCGGGCTATCAAGCTGTCAAGACAAGTGTCCATAAATAAAGAGGCGTTTTTGTTTGCTAGAAACCCCTTTGAAAATAGTAGTGTAATGGCGAATGAAATGGCTTCTGATGGTTCCCAGTTGATTGTTGAGATTGTCAAACAACTGATAAGCTAGTATATCAGTTGTTTCATAAAGTTTTTAACCGAAGCAGCCGGAAATGGAATTTGGAAAGCTGTTGCAAGGTATATCCGTCTGGCCGACAATTCCAAAAAATCTGCTCCATTCTATAATTTATTACGTTAGGTTATTTGACGAGGCGTCACTGCCGGATCAAATATGTGATCAGATGGGAAAACAGTGGTCGTGATTTTTGTGGACTATGTGATGATAAAGAAGAGTTAGAGACTCCAAATTTCATATTTGAAGTTCGTAAGAGCCTACTACAGCCTATGACGAAAAATTGCGTATGCAGGTCCAAGTCTTCGTATGGCCCCCATATAATGGTACCTCCCAATATTCGGCATTTTAATGAATTTTGCGACATTATTTAAGGTATATGTTTCAAATTCCGTATTTGAGGTTCGAAATGGGCACTACAGCCTATGACAAAAATTGCCTATGCAGGTCCACGTCGTCTTAAACCCCCATATAACAATACCTCCCGATGTTTGGTATTTTAATGGTTTTGGATACATATTCGTAATTGGCACTACAGCCTCTGACAAATAATTGCATATGCATGTCCACGTTTTGGTATAGCCTCCACATAAAGATATATCCCGGAATTTGGTATTTTGATGATTTAAGCGACGTTATTTACCGGAATCGTTTCAAATTTAATTTTTGAAGTTCGTAATTGGCACTAAAGCCTCTGACAAAAAATTGAGTATACAGGCCCACGTCTTCGTATAGCTCCAACATAATGATACCTCCCAATATTCGGTATTTTGATAATTTTATAGACATTATTCACCTGAATTGTTTCAAATTTCGTATTTGAAGATCTTAAGGGGTATTACAGCCTATGAAAAAAATTATATTTTCAGGTCCACGTCTTCCTATATACGTATAGCCCCACATATAACGTAACCTTCCAATATTCCTCATGTTTATGATTTTAGTTTCAAATTTTTGTCAGCCTATGACAAAAATGACACGTCCTCATCTAGTCCCCATAAGACGGTTTTCATTTAAGCGGTAATTTTTGACGGATTTTTTTTTAAATTTAAAATTCTTTCCAAACGGTGGAGGGTATTAAAAGTTCAGCCCGGCTGCTTTTTTACTTGTTTTCTATAGGTTTGCTAAAACATATTTTCTATTACTACTACTACTCTATCCTATCTGTATGTACTCCTCCTAGGATGAAAACAACCGACTAAATGTCTCCGAATGAAATTGCTGCCGACTCCTGAAAAGCTGTTCATCCTTTAACCATATAAATCAAAACCTTTCTGCCATCTTTAAGAAGCGCTGATTATTTTAAAAATGTACTGATTTTTAGATATTTTTAGAGCATTTTGCTTGAAAATCTAATTTGTTGTCGGTTTGTCGAAATGTTCGAAACCATTTCGCATTTCTGGCTACGACGGTGTAGATCAATTGATAGGATACCAATATGCCTACTTTGGACCCCATGACTTTTTGGACGAATTTTTTTTGCCCATTGTCATGTCCATAATTATTTTTTTTAATTTATATTATTTTTTACAAAATGTACAAAATAATAAACTATACCAATTTTTATTTAATTTCCCAATTTTAGCAAGCAGCTGCTGCCGCCACACCGAAAAAAGGTGCAACGCCCGCCTCGAAAAAAGGTAAAAAAGGTGCTGCGACGCCCGCTGCCGCCAAGGGCAATAAAAATGCCAAACAAAAGAAGCAACAACAGGATGACGACGATGATGAAGTCGAAGAAGAATGGGAAGTCGATAAGATCATCGACTATGCCGAAGAGAAAAAAGGACGCGTATTTCGTATACGCTGGAAAGGTTTTGGTCCCAAACACGATACCTGGGAGCCAGAAGAAAATCTCAATTGCAAAGACATCATCGATAAATTCATGAAGCGCATGAAAGCCGACGAGAATGTCTCGTTCAAGGAGCTGCGCGAAGAGCCCAAAAAGACAAAACGTTTGGTCAACGAGACGGCACCGCGCACCAACCTACACAATCCGATTGGGCGTAAATCGAAACGAGGTGGCAACAAGCAAAGGTAAGGTAAATATTTTTGCTAGTCCCTAACGCATGGATTACCGTGATTTTTCTAATGGCAATCTCATTATGTCTTTTCTTTGACTACTTTTTTTTATAGAGTTTACTATGGCGAGGAAGATTAAACAATGTTTTGAAGAAACTCGCAAAATCTAGTTCAACAAACATCAGATTGAACAACGCGTCGTCACTTTTGTTTTAAAATACTACTTTTTTTTTATTAATTTATAATTAATTTTCTTTTTGTGTGCATGTGTGATGAGTTTTTGTCTATCAGCAAAGCGGTAGGGTTTTAGGGTTTTTGTTTTCCCCCTCTCTTTAATAAGGCAATCTTACAAAATTTAGTTTGTATAGCAGCTCGCCACTTTCAAGTGTAATTTTCGGGATAATTTATTTTAATTATTTTCTTTACATTTTAAGCCAAATTATTGGTGGCCAATTTAAATATAAATTTTGGAAATTAAACCTTCAAACACATTCCAACAAGAATTTTAAAAAATTCGGAAATTCGCATAAACTTCATAATGAATTTTGGTTTCAACACATTTGGATTTCAAATGCTTTGTTCGATAACAATTTAAGCAAATAGGATTCCGATTTCGTAATGTTGCTTGCACTTGAAATTGGTAGAGATCAGGAAAATTAAAAAAATACTAAAACCACTATTCCTCCCTCCTCCCAAATATTTTTATTCAAAATTCCATAGTTTTAGATGGAAGCAGATGATTTTTAATATCTACCTTTTTTAGCCATTCGTTTTTGTGCACGTGTGTATAGAACTCGCTTCACATTTTTATAAATCACGTAGACCGTGAGCATTTCTTTTCGTTTAATTTTTAATAACCAAATTATCCGTTTTTATCAATCCCACCTTTTTCTATTTATTCTAAAACTGAAGAGAACAAAATTTACAATCATCATAATTATTATTCTTATTATTATTGGTCTTATAGAAATATATAACACAACTGTTTGGTTCGATTTAAATATAAAATATTTAAGACCCAAACACAAATGAATGTTAAGCAAAATAAGAAAATTCCAAAAAATATGAATACAAAAGTATGTACCTTTTTGGAAGGTATAAAATAACAAGAATAACAAAAATAATCCCACTCAAATCACCAATAAAATAACAAAATACAAAATTCTTATAAAACAATATATTTAACACAAAAGAAAATTTTAAAGAAAGAAGAAGTAAGAAAATAAAAAGAAACTGATGTCTAGATTTAAATGAAAACACAAAATGAACGTGTAAAAACGTAACAAAAAGAAATATGTTTTAATAAAAACAAAATATTATGAAATTAGTATTTTTATAGGTTATCGTTGTATAAGGTTTTAAAGGTAGCTTAGGAACTAGTTTAGAAAATAGATTTTGAGGTTATTTGTTAACTTAGAAAATCAAGGATCAATCTTTTCCATTCGATATTGAAAAGAACAATTTCTTTGATAGTTCTTTTTGGGGTATTACTTTTTTCAATTCAGATTTTGTTATTGTTTTTCGTAGAGCCTGACGTTAAAGTCAATGTGAAAGGAAAACACTGTTTGAAATTAGTTTTTTATATCTTTCATATTTTGACTTAAATTCCTAATTTGGAAAACCCTCGGACCTCAATTATTGTTCTATTCAAATACGAGTTTTTATTATAACCTTAGCCAATATTGCTACGGTCGAAATAATGGTTTTAGACCCAAGTCTCTTTGGACCAAATCCGATTCAGAATATTTGGGGTTGATCTGGGAGTGTCCGTCTGTCCCACGATAACTTTCATAGGTAATATCTAATTCGATACAAACTTGGTACATCATAATATGATTATCTAACTTATATCGAGTTCGGAGATGGGTAATATCCTGGTAATACTCCTGGTACCTTCCCCACGAAAGTTCATTATACTCTCAGCCATATGGCTCGAAAGGGTATAAATCATTTGATACTGCCAAAACGTGTCTCATAGAAATAGCGTTTTTAGACCCTGGGTCTCTTTGGACCAAATCTGTTTTAGGTCATTGGGAGTCGATATAGAGATGTCTGTCCGTCCGTCTATCTGCCTGGCTGGCGCGCTGTTGATTCAAACTTGATACATCGTAGTATGATTATCAAACTTAGCTCGAATTCGGAGATGGACAATATCGGTCCACTCCTTCTGGTAACTCCCACACAAAATGGCAACATTTTCAAAGAAAAAAATTTACTGCACAGAAAGAGAAAGGATAATCCGATTTTGCTCCAACTTTGCGAATATTAGTATTTGCATCAGTGCTATGTCAGGTGCGAAAATGGACAATATCGGTTTACTCCATCAAGTACCTCCACCACAAAGGGTCAAAATTTTGTATAATTACAACTCTTATAAAATTTGACGTAAGAGTCCGATTGTCTTCAAATTTCACACGACTTTGCGAATACTAGCATTTGCATCAGTGCTATGTCAGGTACGAAAATATACAATATCAATCCACTCCATCAAAAACCTCCCCCACAATGGTTCAAAATTTTGAATAATTTCAACTCTTATAAAATGTGATGTAAGAGTCCGATTGTCTTCAAATTTCACACATCCTAATTATTTTATTAATTCAAGGTTTGGTGTTAAGGTGGAATACATCGGTCCACTCCTTCTGGTACCTCCCCCACAAAAGGGTTAAAATTTTTGAATATTCATGAAGCTCATAAAATATAAAATTAACATTCAAATCCATTCAGACTTGTGACTTTTCAATATTTCCATCAACAAAAGATCTGTTATAAAGACGGTAGAGATCTGACCACTTCTTCTGGTACCTCTCCCACCAAAGGTTAAACATTTTACTAACAATTATTCGGAAAAAAATTGGAAGTAAATGTTCGATTTCTTTTAACTACTAACAATATTTTTATCAGTATTAGATGAAGTAGAATACTTTGGTCCACCATATCTGGAACCTCAAGTATATGCCAACATTTTCCAAAAAGATCACATATCTCATATAAGGAAAGTTGGTAAAATTTATATCAGACTTAGATCTGAAAAAAAAAAAATAAAAAATGGATATTATTGGCCCACTATTTCCAAACCTTTGCTAGTCAAGCAATTCAAAATCTATTTAAATAGACGAACATCGGCCCGGGGTATACCTCCGTCGACAAGACCGACTAACACTTTTTATCTTGTTTCTTTTTTAATTTCACATTTTTTAAACGAGAATTGAGACCCACACCCTTTTTTTAAATTGGGTTAACGTTTTTCAAATGATAACAGAAATATTAGGAAATTAAAGTAATTTTACCAAGAAATTAGAAACTTTGATCGTTTTATAATTTACTTTAAAATTTCAAAGGATATTTCTATTTTTAATTCCAAAGAAGTTTGTATTTCCTATTCTATTAAAAAAATATATCAAGCGTTAGTAATTACCGATGATATTTAGGTCCTTTCTTTAGCCATTTTTATTATTGTTTTACATACAAATAGCCTCCCAGGTGTGCAATCCACGACTGCGATTTCAAATCATCATCTCCAACTACACTCATCAATAGAACCTAAAGTAAATTTAAATCATATTAAGTAGTCATTTATTTTATGCAAAGGAATTGTTTATACTTAACCCATGTCCTCCATATTGAAATTAAATTTCAGCAGCAATGACTCGGATGTGTCACCCTCGGTACCAGATTTTACAACACCCAGAAATGTAAGTGTAAATATTTTTAATTTGTTTTATTTTATATTTATTAACTTCTTTATTATTTTTGTTCTTTCTAGAGAGGAGGCTCGACCCGTTTGAATGGCGTACAGCAACAGGATACTTCCGGAGATTTTGGCAGTGATTTTGGTGAAAATGCTTCATTTTTAAATCACGTTGGTTATGTCATGAATAAACTGCCCCCAGCAACGGTTGAAAGAATGCAGGGCAAAATCTTTGCCATACTCTATGAGGAATTGGGCAAACATACGCCAAAGAGAAAAGGCGTTTAAGTCACTTACATACATGTGTATGTAGTAAGACCATTTTAAAAAATAATTTTACAAACAGACGAGAAAAGAAAACACAGATCAACAATATTTTAAAAAGACGGATACAAAAGAAATCAAATATTTTAAGTTTAATTAATGAAATGCAACCTTCTTCAAAAGGTTGAGCTAATAAATGTCTCTTCGCGTGAAAAAAAAGAAAACATTTTAAACAGTTATATATCATTTGCTCTGGGACTGGATTCTTGTTCCATGAAAATATCTCCTTTAAAATAATATTTCAAGAACAAAAGAATTGAGGCCCTGTAGTGGGATTTTCTAACACATTTTTGAGATCCCGACAAAAATCGGTAGAATTAAAACGCAAATTTATGAATAAAAAGTCTAAATAAAAATGGGCAACACAGTTGCTATAGGTAGTACCTATCGAGTACTTTTTTTAGTCGTTAACTCGCTGAAAAAATTCGTTAATTACCGAAATTATAAATACTTGAATTTTAACGATTTTTGTCGGTAACTCCAAAAATGATTTGGAGAATTCCACTACTGATTTGATTAATACAAAATTTTTTTAACCATTTGTATCACATCTGTCCCGATAACATTTGTGAGAATATATTTTCTTTCTAAAGTTGTTCAATATAATTGCCCTCACAATAGCGGAATCTAACCTACAGCAAGTAAATTAAATGGATATAAAATTACATTAAACAAAACTAAAGGTGGAAGTACATAAAGAGCTTCTTTGACTGGCTTAAGTCACCGGCTGGCTTTTTCTTAGAGGAACAAAGGAGGTTGACTTAGTTCGATTTTGGCCTACACTCCTTTATCTTTTCCAAAAAAGCCAGCCGTTGACATAAGCCAGTCAAAAAAGCTTTTTATGTGCTGCTTGCACCTCAAAGGCTTAAGTACACAACCGAATTTTCTTCTGACATAAGTCGTTAGCTGACCTTTTATGAAAAAGAAAATCTATTTAAAGGTGATCCAGCTCAAATATGTGTTTCAAGTCCCTCGTTGTTATATGGAAAGTCAGTCGATGGGTTATGCCAGAAAAAAATATTTTTTGTGAGTTTAGGCCTCAACATTATTTTGAGAGAATTGTTATAGCCTCGTCCAACAAATGGAGGGTATGTAATAAATGACCGCCATTTATCTGGCTATATTAATACGGGTTTTCAATAATTAATTTTCAAGAACTTTGAGGATCTTTCCGGATATAAAGTAGTCGTGAATTTTTTTTAAAGAATTTTTTTTTTTTTTAAATATTCCAGGGATCAATTTTTATCAAATGTCTGTTGCCACGAAATCTTGAATTTTTGAAAAAAAAAATTGTGAAATTTTATGAAATCTTAAAAAAAAATTTCCAGTATTTTTTTTTTTGCATAGAATCGATGATTATTTGATCGATATTTGGGACATGTAGTGGGATAGCTCATTTTTTGAGTTACCGACAAAAATTAATAACTTTCGACATTTGTCTGCTCCTCAGAATTATTACAGCCTCCGCCAAACAAATGGGGGGCATATAGAGTCCGGCCTTCATTTATCAAGAATTTTATAAACCCGAACAACATTAACTTCCTGTCTATATTTATCCGGGATTCCAATAACTAATTTGTTTTTTTTTTTTTTTTTTTTTTTCAAAATGTCCAGATCGAATTTTGGGATTTTCAATAGTAATTAAAATATTGTTTTGGCACTAAACGTGGATTTTTTTAAAATATTTTTATCAAGAACCTGTTGTCACGTAATCTTGGATTTTTGAAGGAATTTTTGTCAAGGACATCCTGTTCGAAAATTATGGAATTTTGAGAAATTTACAAAAATATATATTTAGGGATTATTTTACAAAGCATTGGCGATTTTTTGATCGATATTTGTGACCTGTAGTGGGATTCTCTAGCTCACTTTTTGAGTTGCCGACAAAAATCTATTACTTTTCGATAATCGTCAGTAATTCAAAACATAAGCTAGATAATCGATCCCACTGCCGTTTAAAATTGTAACCAGTACAACGACCTGGGATTTTGTTCATCAGCTTAAACGAGTACTTGCTTGGATGGGTTCCCTCGTTCTCAGTACTATTCAAACTTGAATTTTATGAAATTAAAGCTCTGGTATTGAACCTTAATTCTAAGGGTTTTGGAAGATCTTCTCAAATGTAATTACAATTGACTAAAAACAATGTTTCATTAATTTGCTTTCCTATCTAATTTCTATCTCCCCGAGAGTTTTGGGCAACCGGTGTATTCGAACTGTTGCTGGAAGGCTTTTCTGTACTCTCACTTGAAAGTGTAGGGCTGTATAGTATTAGGATCTACTTTGCCTCTTAGTTCGTTATCGATTTCTCCTCATTTCTATCTTCCTGAGAGTTTTTCTGGAAGGCTTAACTGTGCTCAGATTTGACAGCGTTCGATCTATTTTATTTTAGGAGCTGCTTTGTCAATTTATTAAGTTCAATTTCGAATCGTTATACAGAAACATGCCCTGTATTTGATTTTTGAAAAATATTGATTTTTTTTTCATTGGGATAAAATCAAAAATTCACATAGAAATTAGGCTTTAAATCTTGTAACCGACTTCATATGAAATAAACATTAGGAAAATATAACATGCAGTTATAGTACCTAGTGTATATAAAAAATGTTTATCTAAATTAAATATTCATTTTGAACTTATCACACTTTCCTTGTGGAGAATTTCCATATTGTTGACCTGTGTTTTCTGCACCCTTTTTTTACACCCACACATACATACAATCACAATGTATAACACCCTGAACTATTATTGCCACAATTCGTTGATGCCATTGAAAAATCATTGAATATTTTAAGATTTCCGACTAAATTGAAGATATTGCCGAAAAATACACTAAATTATTTTATTAATAATTCAAACATACCAAAATGTTCATATCGCCCATATACTCAAAGAAGGTCATAGTTCGAAAAATCAGATTTGTAAAACTTTCAGATCAGATCAAATTAAAAAAATGGATTTGCCGAATTTGTACAGATTTTTCCATCGATACTTAAAATGTTTTAATTTTTAATTTTTGCAAAAACGGCTTTTTGGAGTCATGACACTCTTTGAGTAAATAATCGATATGAAAACACACTTAAGGTGATGATGAATAAGCAGCTTGGCATTATGGCATGGCATATTTTGTGAAATATTATAAAGGGATGTCTAACACGCAATCGAATCTTGTCGTCGTTTTACCTTTATGAAGATGAGAGTACATAAAAGATTTTTTTTTTGGCTGACTTAAGTCATCGGCTGGCTTTTTCGTAGAGGAACAAAGGCGTTTAAGGTTGATTTAGTTCGATTTTGGCCGGACGCTCCTTTGTTCTTTTACGAAGGAGTCAGCCCATGACTTAAGCCAGTCGAAAAAAAAAACGTTTTATGTATTTTCACCTTAAAGTCACACTAAATTCCAAGCTGCCCATATACCATCACCTTAATTTCCAAAATGAGTTCTTTGAATTAAATTTCTTTCCAATTTTCAATTATTGTTCTGCATTAATATTAAAATAGCCATATCTCTTTATGATATGCAGCATCACATTTTTAATTTCTCTTAGTTTTAAATACGAATTCACTATTTTATTCTTCATTCATGCAGCTAAAGAGGCAATTGATAACATATTTTAATTTTGTATTTTTAATTTGTTCACATTGGTTTTAAAATGTGTTTATCTGTCCGAATTTTTTGTGTGTATTTTAACGTTATAATCACATATTTATTTTATTATTTTTTTAAAAAAAAAATATTACTTTGTTTTGTTCCTTTTTTGTGAAGTTAACTTTGTCCAATATCGTGTATCAATTAGCCTATAATGAATTTCAAATAATAAAATAAACAATAAAAAAGACATTAGAAAGAAGTTTTATTTGTGTTTCTATTTTTTTGAAGGCCTGAAGACCTTCAGTTAAAGACATGTTGCGACCGAACTCGTTAAACATTTCTGGAAAATAAAACTGTCAGTTAAATCAAGCTAAAATTGGTATATTAAAATGCATTTCGTTCCAATTTTTATACCCTCCACCATTCTATGGAGGGTATATTAGCTCTTGTAATTCCGTTTGCAACTCCTCGAAATATTTATAATAGACCCTACAAAGTATATTCTGGATCAACATAAAATTCTAAGACGATCTAGCGTTGCGACCGTTGTCTGTTGTAATAGCGTTATCTTTCGAAGGAATTGAGATGGAAGTCTAAGAGTTTGCATACATGCAGGTTAAGTTCGTAAATAGACCATGTCGGTCCACGTTTTCGTATAGCCCCCATATAAGAGTACCTCCCGATAGTCGTATTTTGACGATTTCAGCAACAGTATTCATCGTACTCATTTTCAATTTCGTATTGAAAGCTCTTAATTAATTGGAACTACTACCTACGGCAAAAAATTTCGTATGCAGGTCCACATCTTCGAATGCAGGCCCACGCCTTGTTATAGCCCCCATATAACGATAATCTCCCCATATTCGGTATTTTCATTTTTGCGACATTATTCACCGAAATTGTAATAAATACCAATTTCGTATTTAAAGTTCGTAATTGGTACTACAGCCTATGACAAAAAATGTCGTATGCAGGTCCATGTCTTCGTATAGTCTCCATATAACGGTTTTCATTTAAGTGGTAGTTTTCGGATTTTTTTTTTTTAATTTTCAAGTACCTCCCAATTGGTGGAGAGTACAAAAAGTTCGGCCCGGCCGAACTTTTTTGCTTTTTTACTTTTTTGATATTGAATGAGATAATTTTACCACTGTATTTATTCAATGTCATCCGTGCAAGCTTATTACATCGCATAAATCGGAACCTGAAATCGGATTTAAACTTGGCCTCTATTCGGTTGTTGAAGCAGTTAGAGAAAATATGCACCGCTTTACTAATATGGTTCCTATTTTGGATGCATTCCTAGATCTAGGAAACATATTATCTGAAATCTCCATGAAATTTATACTAGCAACTATACTGCTTTTCGTTTTCGATGACGTTGCAGCTATAAATATTTCAATACATTTGCCTGTCATTTTCATTGGTATATGAATGTATAGTCCTAGAAGAAAGTCAAGTCAATTTGATGTTAGTTCCAGATGATGATGGAATTTTTAATCAAGTTATCTTTGAAATTTCTTTGTTCATCCATACCGTTTTAGTTATTTAAAAGACAGCGCGTTAGGTTCTAAATCTATTGTTTTTTTCTCGCACAGATTTGGAGAAATAAACCTCCACTTTTTGTATCGATATCAAATCAACATATGTTGTGCATTAGGCATTCGTTGGCTATACAATTAAAAAAATAAAATTTTAATATTAAAGCTTATATGGCCGAACATATTTCATCGACAAATCGAAGACTCAATTATGAGGAATACTACTATGCGCCTAATATTGAAAATTTCAAACCAATTTATTATGAAAAGGTGTGGGTAATTCTTCCTTACAATATTTAAATTTTAATTGAAAAGGTAGGTCAACTGAATATATTTTCATCGTTATGGATAATGTTTCGAATATATTCGCTGAGTCCCCAAACAATAACAGCTATCTACAGCCTATTTTTTATCCATTCGATTTCAATCCTAATTATCAATTCAAAGAAATCTTGTCACATTTAAAGCCTTTTACAACGCATTCTTATTTTTCCTCATCTGTCTGAAATAAAATTGACAATTTCAAGTTTAGTTTATCACTTCGACAAAATAAAACAAGTCATAATTTATTTATAAATCTTCCTATATAGATATATCGCATTAGGTTGTAATTCATTTTTTACTGTTCCTAACTTATAGACCAGCCTGGAGACCGAAACCAGGGCCCTTGGGTTCCTCAGTCAATGAGGTTGGTTCACCCTTGGGTTCGCTGGCAAAACGGCCATTACGGGGTCCGGGAGGAGAGACGCGATCAGCCTTGCAGTCGGCCAAGATTTCTTGCATGTCCTTAGCGGTTAAATCTTCCTGCAAAACAATAATAACAACTACTAATTAAATATCCACAAACAAAATTAATCTACAATTACTTACATAATAATCATCATTGATGGCCACCATGGGAGCATTGACACAAGCGCCCAAGCATTCAACTTCGGAAATGGTGAATTTCATATCCTTGGTGGTTTCGCCTACACCAATGCCCAAAGTTTTCTATATAAAAAAATCATATTTGAGTATCCATTGAACTAAATAATATTTTTGTAACTTACCTTGCATGTCTCCAAAATTTCATCGGAACCACGCAACCAACAGGGAGTGGTTGTGCACACTTGAACGTGATATTTACCAGTGGGCTTACGCATAAACATTGTGTAGAAAGTAGCTACTTCGTAGACACGCATATTGGGCAATTCCAAAATTTCAGCAACCTTGTGCATGGCCGAAATGGGCAACCAACCATGTTGACGTTGAGCCAAATCCAACAGGGGAATCATGGCACCGCGCTTATGGCCCTCTGGGTATATGCTCATGATAGCTTCAACGCGCTAAAATATGAAAAGAAAATTATTCAGTTTTGGAAAACATAACATTTTAGGAAAGTGAGAAAAATAGGATGGAGAGAACTCCGCTTATAACTTTACCACAGATACCCCTCTGGGTTCTTAGCACAATGATATAATATTTTACTTGTCCAGACCTACCAAGCTGTGGGCCTTCCAAGTTTTCTTAGTGCCTGTTATATATCCAGTGTTTGATAAACCAAAATATATGGATGTGAACCAAGGCTAAGAGCCCCAAATTTAAATTTAATACTTTTTTAAGTTGCTAGCCTTCGCCCGGGGCTTGACATTTTCTTCTCTGTGTATGTCCAACACCGACTACGTGGATTTAATGCTGCATCTCTATTTAATGGCAGAGAATCCTTCACAATGAAAATTTTTAGGACAAACAACTCAATAACATCTTAAGGAAATATCCTAACAGGTCAAAGACAATTTTAATTAATTGACGGGCCTGACCATAACCGAAGATGTTTTAGAAGCTGCCTATGTGAGAAGCTTTGATTCGAGGTGATGCTATGGTGAAAATAAATTGGTAATGGCGTTTTATAAGCAAAATAAAACCTGGCTAGTACTTCAAACAAATCCGACCGTGTGATGAAAATACGACCTTTCGAAGATCAACGGGCATTTGTTAAGAGTTTCACGGGCCATCCACCGAACAAGGCATCTACCTCTTACGCGACCATTTTGCTTTAGAATACAGTAAAGAGTGTTATGGTAAAGATGTAGAACTAAAAGCGATGCCATTGATTGTCCTTATCCCCCGAAGAGGGCTATGAAGTGTAGAGTGGAACATATGAAACACCTAAAAGAGTTTCCAATTGGAAAGTTATATAGTTAAATGAGGGATATAGTGCAACCTGGGTTAGATTTTGTCCACATTCACAACCATTTCATATACAAAGGAGACATATTTGGAAAATGATGCTTCCATATTCGACTCCCCCGTGAGATTATTGATTTTGATGCCTTTGTATCTTGGAGTTTTAATAGTAATGGTCCCCTCAATACTTCCTACACATCACCTAGTCATTCAGCACCACATCTCACACATCTGTCCGAAAGCACCAACTCACCTTCTTGTTTTCCGGTGTGAATTCGAATGGAATATCGGGGTTATCTTCGGGAGTATCACGATGGACAAACAAATTGTCGCTGCGTTGGGTAGCCGATGTAGCGATGGCACGTAGACTGCCGCGCTGGAATAAAATGCAGACAATAATTAATAAATTCAATTATTTACCTTTTAATATTAGATTTTCGGACAGGATTTATTGTGACCAAATTACATAACCTGTATTCTTCAAAGTTTACTTTGAATTCTTTGCATCGTCCAACGACTTACCACATATTGCAGGGTTTTTGTGGCACAATTAGCAAGCATTTTTTTCGTTTTATTCAATGGAAATTTGCTGAAATGTGTATTATTTCCAAAGGGAATGGAAGAATTCGATCGTCTCCCTCAAGCACCGACAGACTTTGCTAAAAAAAAACACCAAACTAATAATTTTCGGTCGTTATGTCAAGTTGACATCCATAAACAGCTGTTTATCATTTGTTGTTGTTATTATAAACTATGCATGGCACATCGTTGTAGAAAAGAGTAGTAAAAGTGAGATGATAGCAGGGTAGAGTAATTGAGTTGTGATTTTTATAGCTACCACCCATGGCAGAAGAATACATTTGTAGAAATTTTGTGAAAAAAAATATAATAACAACCTCCAATTTGTGTCGCATAGGAAAATTTATAAAAATCGATTTTTTTTGAAAAAACATTGTAAAATTATTGAAATATTAAAGTTCCAAAGCGTTGATGCATCTACCTTCTTCTTCTACCATGCCCTTCACCATAGTATGGAGGGTATTTTAAGTTTGTCATTCCGTTTATAACACCTCGAAACATACATTTTAGACCCCACAAGAATATGATCACCATACAATTCTACCTCGATTTAGCGATGTCCGTCCGTCTGTGGAAATCACTCTAGCTTCCGAACGAAATGAAGTAGGTTGATAAAATTTTACTCAAATGTCTATTATGTCTGCAGGACTTTTGGTATTTAAAATGGGCCATGTTGGTCCACGTTTTGGTATAGCAGCCATATAATAGTACCTCCCGATATTCGGTATTTTGATGATTTTAGCTACATTAATAACCGGAATTGTTTCAAATTTAGTATTTGAAGTTCGTAATGATTACTACATCTATGAAAGAAAATTGTCTGTTCAGGTCCACGACTTCGTATAGCCCCCATATAACTTTACCTCCCGATATTCGGTATTTTGATGATTTTAGCTACATTATTCACCGGAATTATTTCAAATTTGTTATTTGAAGTTCGAGATGTATACTACATTCTGTGACAAAAAATTGTCTG